ATTTACACAACAAAACATTCCTAAGGTCACATGCAACTTTAATAATGAAAAACTTTAATTAGCAACAAATTCACAAAGAATTCAAGGCAAATAATTAACAAGTAATTTCTAAGTCTAGTAACAGACAATGATTATCCATTCACGGTAACCCCAATTCTAAGTCACCTCACAAGATGACTTTTAATACAAACAGTAAATTGTTACCCTACACGATAACCATAGCTACAATAATAAAATGGAAAGAACACGATACCGAGTAGACCACATCTGAAGGCCCGTAAATATCGTGAGATGTAAATTCACTACTTTAGGATTGCCACTAGTTGCCCTAAAGCTTCCAACAACCGTGGCAACACAAAATGGCACCCAGTACCCAGACATCGAAGGGAAAAATCATCCAAATTTCACTGTATATCCTAAAATTGAAATCCAACAACACCGCAAGGTCCGTCTTATTGTCAGAAACTTTCTATCTTTTGATGCCGTCATCAAAATCTAGGTCACGCGCCAGTACCCGAGTCCCATGCACTGTCATCGACGAATACGCACTCCACCTCTAGCTATGCCTCCACCTGCTGAGTCCACCAATGGTGTCCATTTCTCCAATAGCCACTGGTTTGGCTAGAAAACAAAAAATTAGTTTCGGTAATTTGAAGAAAAATCCCAGTTTTTCGTCCCTGTTATTTGCCTATTTTCCAGCCTCGATTTCTACCTGTTCCAACTGGTTTTTGCCCCCAAAAAATTACAAATTTCTCAAAAACACAATCTTTGATACCATTTGGCGTTAAAATCCAAGAGAAATCTTAATCCAAGTTCACTTTAATCAACCAAACAAACATCAAATGAGGAGCTTCCGACCAATATCTTTAACATTTCGGTTGCCACTAGTTTTCACCCCTACAAAGGAGAAAGTCAATGGTAGCAATATCACAAAGGGAGGAACAAAGAAGGTACAATGATAGAACTTTCAAATGAACCACCAAGAATAACCACCTCACTGTTTTTCCTCTACTACACCTACACATCCTGCACGGCTACCTCCACACACATGCACACACACACACACACACATATATATATATATGGATGGAGAATCAGTCAAAAAGAGCAATCAAGTATCAACTTTCTCAAAAAGAAGAATTCTCAAAATAAGATTAAGAAGAGAAGATGAAATGGAAGACAAAAGCAATCCACTTTAGTCTACTTTCTCAAAGTTCAAGATCACTTTCATTATTCAAGATTCTTATT